CCAGGCCTTGTCAGGGGTCAGGAGGGAAGCATCACTGAGCAAAGCACCAGTCAACAATTACCCAGAGGAGTGACACCCGCTACTGTGTCATAACTGCTGTTAAAGCTCGCTCTAGCATGTTCTGATGGAGGGAAGATGCTCGGCAATTCAGGCTACTGAACCACAGAGAAGGCTGGGACACAAGGCAGAAAGCCAGTGACCCACAGGAAGGCCTGCCCTGTAAGCACAACCCAACTTGGGAGTTGGGGGGGTTGACGCTCTTGCCCACAGCAGGGCCAGACCCCCTGTAGGGCCAGGCCTGGGGGCATTGCCTTCTAGACCTGTGGTGCCCCCAGGGTTCCGACACAGAGAGCCTTCATTAAGCCAGTTCAGTGTTTAGCTGGCGAAGGCAATGGCTTCCAGATGTTAGAGGGGCTGGGGGGCCAGCGAGCCTGCGATGCACTGGGGCTCATCTCCGTCACCGATGGGGAAGGAACGAAAAATCTGGCACTGCTACCCCAGCCAGATAGCTGCTGCTCGGCCCTTCACAGCAGATAAATCATCCCCAAGGATCATCCCAGAACACTTGACAGCCAGGGCGGCTGAGGAAGCAGGGAAAGAAAGCCAGGGGGTGAATGGGCCCCCGAGGCAGAGATGAGAACACTGAGGATGGGGCTGTGGGTCCCAGGCCCTGTGCCAGCAGGCTCACGGTGAAATGACAGAGAGAGGACCCTAGTCTGGGGGTTTTGCCCCTTGCCAGCTGGGTACCCTGGGCACTCACTCGCCCTAGCAGAGAATCTTTTCCAGAGATAGTTCCTACTCTTCAGGGGGCGTTGATGGAACTGAGGGGCATATCCTGGGCTCCACACTGAAGCACAGGGGGTGGGATGGCATTTAGCCATCTTACCAAGGGCTTCCCGTGCATGGCTTCCTCTCACCCTAGCTACCATCTCACCAGGTGGGGGCTCTCGTTAACCCAACTGCACACGAGAAGAAAGTGCGGCCCAGAGAGGCTGAGGACTGTGTTGGAGGTCACACTGCAAGTAAGTGGCAGGGCTGCAAGGCCTGAAGCCAGGCCTCTTGCCCTGGAGTCCAAGCCCTAACCACCTCCCCCTGCGAGGGGTCCAGGAGGAGGTCATCTCTGGGCCCCTGCTGATCAATTAATCAGAGTCACTTGGTCAGACGCTCCCCCAGCAGCTCCCCCTCACCCCCCACATCTTCCGCCCACCCTTACTGTCTTAGAAGCACACCTCGCTCCTAGCAGATGCACAGAACCTGGGCAATTCACCTTTTGTGCCTGCTGGTGCTGAACATGGGAAGGCTCCCAGCCCACAGAACTGGCCGTGCTGAAACGTGTGTTGCGAGTTGTGGGGTGGGAGATGCAGAGGAGAGCAAGGGGCCCAATGTCCTCCTGGGAAAAAAAGATGGAGGGGCTTTCCCAGGCACAGGGGAGCTGCAGGACAGGCAGGTTTGCCCAGCTCTGCCACCTCCACCCCCACCACTCTTGGGGCTGGTGACAGTGCGTTGGGCTGTGTGTCTGCCGGGAAACTTGGGAGAGGCTGCGCTGGCACAGCAGGTGCTTGGACTTATCTAAGATTTAATAAAAAATGCACAACTCTGGGGCAGGTTCAAGGGGCCACGTTGCCTGCCTCTGACATGATCCCCTGCCTGTTTAAGGATTGTAAAAGCTCCAAATTTCCCCTGCCAGGGAGAGATCCTCACCTTCTTTTAGTTACCCTGGAACCCCAAGGGGTGATCCAGGTACTAGTGAGGCCAACTTCACAATTGAAAAAAGTGAAATGTTCCAAAGCAGTAAGCCCCAGCTATGACTGATGGCCACCTTCGCACCAGCGCTCAGAGCTGCACCTGGCCTGGGGCTCAGTAAACAAGGGGAAAAGAGTGCATGACGCCTCTTGGGCTGCACTGGATGTGCTCTGAAGAGGTAAAAGGATTAACGACACATGCACTGTTTGGAGCCTTTTGCAACTTCTGGGGAGTTCTCCCAGCTGGAGGCCCCTTGGCTAGGGTGAAGGCACCATTCATCTCTCCTGGGAGGGTGACCACAGCCCTGGCTGCCCAGCACCTTCCCAGGCTGGCCGAATGTCTGGGAACATCTGGAAGGGGCTAGGTCCAAGGCATTAAGCTAAAGAACGACAGAGCTCCATGTCCAGGAAGGAGAGGGATCCAGGCCCCTACCCAGAGGCAGCCAATTCTGGCCACTGGTGGTCCTACCGAGTCAGGCGCGTGCTGCCCGGCCAGACTCTCACAGCAGAAAGCTGGCACCACGGCCGGGAGTAGTGAACTTATCCAGGTTCCCAGGCTCAGGGAAGAGGCTTACGACAGCCCAGCCTCACACCTGGGCGAGTGGCCCCCATCAACCTGCCCAGCTGCCCTGTGTCTGATTTGCCCCTGGCAGGAACCCAGTTCCCATGCAATTGGCCAGATAGTTCTCCCCAAAAGCAAGAACCAACCCATCCTTCCACTGTGAAATGCCTCCCACCCTTGCTTGGGTGACTCGGTGCCAGGGTAGGCTGATATGCCAAAAAATGAAGCCTAAAGTGTTGCAGAGAACCACAAACGCCATCTGTCAACAGGGAGTTAAGGCACGCTAATCTAAACACATCCCTGGAGATAGCTCTCTGCAGCTCGTAAATATACACACACAAAACCCTCTCCCAGAGGCAACAAAGCAGGACTGGCTTGAGGCCACGACCAGGCCTGCCTCAGATACCCTGCCTCTCTCTCCTTCCTCTTACCGGGGACTTGGACACCAAGGACCCTGTCCATTCACCAGCTATTTACCCAGCACCTGCTCTGAGCTGGGAAATGTAAAGTGCTGGGAAGGCCGTGGCCATCGGGACTCACAGTCCAGCCCCTGGAGACTTCACAGCCTAGTGACATTTAATAATCGCAGTTACAAAGTTACGATTATGCAAAGTAGCACAGGGAGCTGTGAGGGGCACAGGAGACCTAATCTTTTTTTTTTTTTTTTTTTTAATATTATCAGATGGAGTTTCGCTCTTGTTGCCCAGGCTGGAGTGCAATGGCGTGATCTCGGCTCACTGCAACCTCCGCCTCCCAGGTTCAAGAGATAGGAGACTTAATCTAGAGAGGAAATCAAGGAGGGTCTCTTTGAGGAGGCACGCTTAAGCCAAGACTGGGAAGGTGAGAAGGAACCAGGAGAAGAAGAGCTGGAAGAACGGGCCGCACCAGCAAAGGCTCTGGGTGGGGAGGAGCATGGGACATTGGAGAGACAGCAGAGAAGCCAGCAGGGCAGCAACACATTTGGGCAAGGGGATAATAGGGGGACCAGAAAGGCAGAGGGGTCAGATAAGGGGCTGGATATTCTCCAGGGGACAAGCAGAAGGGACCTGGTTGTGAGGTGTGCCTGAGCGGGATCCAGTGGTGTGTGGGAGCCACTTGCGTAAGCTCAGGAAAGCTGAGTGTCAGCATCACTTCCCAACTCTTAACTTGGAATCAGCCGAGGTGGGCGTATTTACACCATGGAAATGGGCGTGCTTGTCCTTCCCAGAGAAAGCATTGTTAATCATTTCCCAGTTGGCTCCTGGAAGGACCCTGTGCTCCTGGGAGGGGATGGGAGTGTGGGGTGGAGGGAACGCAGGGACAGCCCTGAACAGGATGATACCAGGGAGCCCTGAGGGGAGGAAGGACAGACCCCTGTCCAGCAGCAAGACTGGACGGCAGGTGCCTGCGGAACACTGGGCTCTGAGTGAACCCAGATCCCGGCACCGTAGCCCACATAGCAAGCCGGCCCCTCCCTGGCCAGTGCCCAGCACCACCGCCTGAACCTGAGAGCTCCTGTGCTCCTCCAGCCACCCCAGCTTCCCTGACTCTGGGGAGACACTCAGAAGACGCCCCACACCCATACTTCTGCCACACTCTCTGGGGCCACCTTGTCAGCCTGGACCAACTGCTGAACTCAGGCCATCCCAAGGGGCTGCATCAAGCCTCAGCCTCTTTACCTGCACAATTCTGCCTGGAAACAGGGAAGCACCTGCCTTTGGGACAGGTGGAAGGGTTTGGCGAGATGAGATGATATGGTGGTACCTGAGCACAGTGCTTCCTGTGCCTGCCACAGGCGTGCACCCAGCGCTGCTCAGCTATCTATATATCCCTGCATCTCTGGGGGACTGCTTGCCATTCAGCCACCTGGAGCCACAGGGATGGTCAATGTCCTCACCGTGCCCGAGTGACGGGCTCCGGGATGGTACCTCCTCCCGGTGCTCACCTCTGTCACTTGCTGCTTGTCCAGGTGGAACACCTGCCCAGAGCTGGTGGCAGCGATCTCCTCATAGGCCAGGTAGCCAGGATGGGTGCGGTCGCCACAGTCCCCCGTCAGCACAAAGACCACCTGGAAGATGGACATGCAGCCTGCTCTCAACTTCCCTGGCCGGCTGCTTCAGGGGTGAGCAGCAGGACCTCGACCAGGGTAGAGTGACCTGGAGTAGGCCCTTTCCTCTGTCCGGCACATGTATAGAATGACATATGACACATGAATAGAAGGGAAAATAGAAGTACCCATCTCATGGGGATCAGGAGCTGATGCAGAATAAGCGCTAGGCACAGGGCCAGGAAAACAGCAGGTGGTCCACATTGGGAACTGCTATTGAGTCAACAACAAAGAAGGGTGTGGAAGTCGATTCATCTCAGAGTGGCCCCTGGAGGCTGCAGAGTTAGAAGAACCTTGAAGAACCCAAGCAAGTTCTAGACGCGGCGACAGAGAAGCAGTCTCGGCCCTTTGGATCTTGCCCAAGGATGCCAAAGAGCTGGCCCTTCTCCCTCCCTTGATCATGTCCTGTCTCACAGCCCTCACTGTAAAAGCCAGAAGCAAGGGATCTGACAGGTCTTCCAAACCCTGAGACAATGGCAAAGGGGATATGAATGGTAGAGAGACCAGGAGCAGAGGCGATGCCAGGAGGAAGATGGGTTGCCTGGACTTTGATGCGGATGAAAGGAGTAGGTGGTGTGGTCTCCATCAGGAACAAGCTGCACCAGGGAAGTGTGAACCCTGGCCCGGGCCTAGAGCATGACAGCACTCTCACACTTCCTGGGCCAACTTGGTTCCGAGGCTCTGGCCATGCATGGCAGAGGCTGGACCAAGGCTGTGGAAGAGAAGTGCCCAGCTCTCTCTCCAGGTGGTGGCTCAGGTGGCGTGAGAGACCCCAGCTTCCTCGGGACCCCCTAGGGGACCCCACTCAGGCCCCCAAAGCCGGCTCACCCACCTGTGATTGTTTGAGCTGCAGGAGACGCAGCAGCTCTTCCTTCTTGTGATAGTCTTTGGCGCGGGCATCCGAGAAGACGTAGATGAAGGAGCCGGGGTTGGCAACCTCCACGGCAGCCTTAATGGCCCCCACACTCATCTCCGGGCAGTCACCACCTCCCTGGAGGGCGGGGACGTGTCAGCAGCTGCCACCTGCCTCCTCCAGATGGGACCCACCCAGGGACACCTCCAAAACCATTGGGTGTTGGGAGTCACCTTGAACTGTCACCCGCCCACTCAGTCACTTCCTTCCCAGGGACATGATATAACATCCAACCTGCTTTAACTGTAGACAAGCAGCATCATTCATTCATTCATTTCTTCACCCATGCAAGAGTGACACGGGCCCACCCCCACGGAAGGCAGTCACTACACCAATAAGCCCAGCACCGTGCCAAGTACTTCGAGTGGGCAAGGATGGAGGGGGCCATGGGAGCAGTTAACAGATGGCCTAAGGAAGCCACACATTTGCCCAGGAGGAGGGAGAAGTAGAGGCTGGGCAAGAGGGAGTCACTCGAAGCTACCTCCCCAAACCCTCTTGGTAGGACACAGAGTGGGACAGAGGGTCAGGGAACAGTGCCCACCTGCACATAGAGTTCTCTCAGCTCCCTCTGAAACACCGCGGGGTCCGCTGTGAGGGTCACTGGGCCAATATCTGTGGAGAAGAGAGAGGGATGCCCAGATGGGCTAGGACTGCTAGACACACAGCGCGGTGGGCTGGTTTGGCAGTGACACGAGGATGGATGCTCAGAGGAGCTGAGGCTGGCACACAAGATGGGGAGAGATTAGGAAGCAGCTCTCGGAGCTGCAGGATCAGACCAGGAAACGAGGTCAGACCACTCTGCCCTGTGCCCAGCGCCAAAGCAGAGACCGAGCTCCAGGGAAGCAGAGGTGAGGCAGAGGGCAAGCTCCAGCTCCTCCCCCCGGACAGCAGCACCCAACCTTTGGTCACCAAGACTCCCCTAAGAACCCCCACCTCCACCATCCCGCCGGCTGCCACTCAGTGGGGAAGGAATTCCAGGAAGACAAAGAAACGAGAAGCAAACAAACAATCCATTTTGGGACACACAGCAGCTCTCCAACACCAGCTGCTCAACAAGAGAAAAACCTTCCAGAAACCCCATCTATGTATGAGCTCATTTTAAAAAGAACAGCAATAAAAATGACAAAGATTGACTGCATTTGAGGTTGGCAAGGACGTGGAGCAACTGGAACTTTCATTCACGGCTTGTGGGAACGCAACACGGTTTAACCTCTTTGGAAGACAACGGAAGTTTCTGAAACGTTACACATGCACCTACCATGGGTCCGGCCATTCCACACCTAGGTATGTCCCCAAGAGAAACGAAAACATATGTTCACACAAAGGCTTGTACTCAAAGGTTCATAGCAGCTGTGTTCACAATAGTCCAACACTGGACACGAGCCAGATGTCCATCATCTGGTAGAGAGATAAACAAACTGGTAAATTCACAGAACCAGGTTGTCCTCGGCAATAAGACAGGACGACTACCGATACAGGCAACAACAGGGGTGCCTCCCACGCGAGAGAAGCCAGACGCAAAACAGCACATACAGTATGGTTCCATTTATAGTAAGTTCTGGAACAGTCAAAATTAATCTAAGGTGAAGAAACACAGAACAGAGGTTGCCTGAGGAGCTTGACTTGGAAGGAACTGTCTGAGACAGAAACATTCTATATTGTGATAGGAGTGTGGGTTCCTCGGTGTATCATTTGTCAAAAGTGTGCCGCTAAGATCGGAGCATTTCAATGTATGTAAATTTACCCTGTAAGCAAAGCACTAGAACAAATGATCACTGAGTGGGGGTTGGGGGTGGGAGGAGGTACAGGCGAGACGAGAATGACGGGGCTGTTAAATATTTGGCGATGCTGGGTGATGGGTACATGGAGATTCATTGTTCTCTTCTACTTATGTTGTATATATTTGAAATGTTCTCTAATAGCTTTCTTCTTTTAAATAGCAGTAATGGAGATCCATGCCAACACAAGACAACACTACCAGTGCTGGACAGCAGGGCTGGGGTTATGGAGAGCCTTGTGGATAAGCACACAATGGGCATTGTACAAGGTCGTGTGGACATGAGGTTTCTTAGGAAAATATTTGAGTCCTCGGTGAACTCTTATGTATTTTATTTTATTTTATTTATTTACTGAGATAGAGTCTCGCTCTGTCACCCAGGCTGCAGTATAGTGGCATGATCTCGGCTCACTGTAAACTCCACCTCCCAGTTTCAAGTGATTCTCTTGCCTCAGCCCCCCAAGTAGCTGGGGCCACAGTCATGTGCCACCATGTCCAGCTGATTTTTGTATTTTTAGTAGAGACGGGGTTTCGCCACGTTGGCCAGGCTGGTATTGAACTCCTGACCTCAAGTGATCCACCTACCTCGGCCTCCCAAAGTGCTGAGATTACAGGTGTGAGCCACTGTGCCCAGCCTCAGTGAACTCTAATAACAGACTATTTTTAGTTCAGCAATTCTAAGTTCCAGTCACTCTAAACAAATTTTCATTCTCAGCAACAAGTCAGCGGATCTCAGTCTTTCTTAGAAAGGAAAGCCTGTAGAATTATCCAGCATGTCTCACAATGATCAAGGACGAGCTGATGCCAGTTTTCCCTGGGGCCCCTGCCCCTCTGCCCTGTGTTTCTCCATCTCGTCCCACCCTGCCCTCCCTCGCCTGCCCTGGCCATCCCCACCACGTCCTTTCCTCTGAACTCCACAGTAACGAATTCAGCCCGACTGCAGCAGCTCAGTCCTCAGCCTTGGAGCTCAGCCAGGTCTGATTGGAATTCTTCATTTATCCTTTTTGGGCTATGGGGCCTCTCAGGCAGCGCTCGCTTCACTGCACCAAGCCTCAGTTTCTTCATCTGTAGAACGAGGCACGTAACAACACCATTTCTCCCGACCAAGAACCATCGCTGTGAGAATTCAGTGAAGCCAGGTAGCTAAACCCCTGGCACGGAGCTTAGCACGTAGCTTGGCATGGAGCAAAGGTTCAGCAAATGGGAAGAGGATGTGCTGACGTGAGCGTGCACTTGGCCAGGCTCCAGCGGGTGTTCTCACACAGTGCAGTCAAAGACAGTCTCGCTTCAATATGAGGTCCTCAAATTCTACTTTGACTAAGAAGAGCAATCATTTTACTCAGTGCTGATTATTTCATTGTTAGGTAATCACACATGTTCATTGTAAAAAGAAATTAACATGACATGAATGATAAGGACAGTCACTAAATACCTTGTAAGCACCAGGCCATGTCCTGAGATACTTCCTGTGTATCAGCTCACTGAATTCCTCCTAGCACCTGGTAGGTCCAGGTCTTTTTTTTTTTTTTTTGAGACGGAGTCTTGTTCTGTCACTCAGGCTGGAGCACAGTGGTGCAATCTCAGCTCACTGCAGCCTCCGCCTCCCGGGTTCAGGTGATTCTCCTGCCCCAGCCAAGTAGCTGGGACTACAGGTCCCTGCCACCACACCCGGCTGATTTTTGTATTTTTAGTAGAGACAGGATTTCGCCATATTTGCCAGGCTGGTCTCAAATTCCTGACCTCAGGTGATCTGCCCGCCTCAGCCTCCCAAAGTGCTGTGATAACAGCAAGCAGAAGCCACTGCGCCAGGCCTTTTTTTTTTTCCTTTTGAGACGGAGTCTCACTCCATCACCCAGGCTGGAGTTCAGTGGCACGATCCTAGCTCACTGCAACCTCCAGTTCCCAGG